CGGTGTGAGTCCAAATGTATTGTCTGTCAGGTGCCAGGGTTTGGGCTGGAGAAAATTCACCGGGGGAGAGGGAGGATCCAGCAGTTGAGGCTCACTAAGTGATACTGATGACACAGGTAAAACTAAGAGCACGTGTGAGAAGCTTGGTACTAAATTTAAAAGCAGTACCTTAAATGTAATAATTGCTGGATTATTACCTGAGCCACATACAAATTTTCAATGGACAAACTGGATTAGAAAAATAAAGACTGGTGTGGGAGAAGTGGGTTCCATTTCAAGGGACACTAGTGCCAGTACTAGCGAAAGGGGGATCTGTGCCATTGGAATAGTCTACACCTGAACCATTCTGTGACTGGTGTTCTAGCAAGCCACATAATTAGGAAGAAATATTCAAACTAAAAAAAAGTTGGGTGGTGAGGGATGTAGCAAATCAAGGGATAGAGATGATTGCAAGAGAGCCAGAGAGGAAAGGGCAGACAGAACAAACCTAACGATACACCAACAGTGAAGACTAAAATCTAGAAAAGCTCTGGAACAGAATGTGTGTAGCACGCATACAAGGTAGACAAATTGATAATGCACATAAATGTGATCTGATGGCCATTATGGAAACATAGCCGCAGGTTAATAATGATTAGGTCCTGAATATTGAGGGATATGTGACAGTCAAGAAGGAAAGGAAAGTGAATAAAGATGGAAGGGTAGCACTTCTAATCAAGGATGACATTGGTGCAAGATTTAGAGATGACCTTATTTCAGGAGATCAGGATATAGAATTGGTTTGGGCAAAGACTAGGAATAGTAAGGTATAGAAACCAATGGTGGCTGTGGTCTACAGGTCCCCTAATAGTAACAACAATGTAGAACAAAGTATACAAGAAGAAATTTTGGGTGCTTGAGATAAAGGACAGCAATAATCATGGGAGATTTCAATCTACATGTAAACTGGAAAAATCAGACTGACAATAGTACCCTGGATGTAGAATTCATATAATGGTTCTGAGGTAATTTCTTAGAGCAGTTCATTCTGGAATCAACCAGGCGGCAGGTTATATTAGACGTGGTATTATATAATGAGACAGGATTCATTCATGACCTCAGAACATCAGCACCTCTAGGCAGTAGAAATCACTATATGATTGAATTTTACATGCAGCTTGAAAGGGAGGAGGTTGGATTAGTCTTTTTCAAAACTTAAGAAGGGCAACTATATGGGCATGAAAGTCGAGTTAGCTGAAGTAAACTGGGTTCTCTGCTAGGAGTTAGATAAATAGAAAAGCAATAGCAGACATTGAAGGAATATTTCAGAATACTCAAAATATGTACATTCTGACTACAAAGGGAAAATCCAAGGGGAGGACCCACCATCCACGACATTAAAGAAGTTACGGAAAACATCAGACTTAAGGAAAAAGCATATGAATGTGCAAATATGGTTGGCAGGTCGGACAAAGGTTATATTGGTCAGAATATAATGGAAAGGTTCACGAGGAGGAAGAAATTGGAGTATGAGAGAAAGCTAGCCAGAAAGGATAAAGTGGATAGCAAGTGTTTCTGAAGGTATCTGAAAAGGAAAGGATGAAATAAGATGAGTGTTAGTCATCTCGAGAATGAGAATGGGATTAACAATAGTTAATAAGGAAATGGAAGGTGAAGTGAACAAACATTTTGCCTCTTCTTTGCTCTTGAGGATACAAAGAAATTCCAGTAGTAGTTGTAAATTAGGTGACAGAAGGAAGAGAGGAACTTGGTGAAATTATGATCACCGGAGAAGCGGTTCCTGGCAAACTGATGGAGCTGTGAGCTGACAGACCTCCAGGTCTTGATGAACTCATCTGTGCATCTTAGAGGAGGTCATGTGGAGGTGCCAGTGCTGGACTGGGGTGGACAAGGTCAGAAATCACACAATACCATGTTATAGAGTAGATGCGTTGGTGTTAATTTTTCACAATTCACTAGATCCTGGAAAGGTTCCATTAGAAAGAAACAAATATAACACCTCGATTTAAGAATGGAAAGGGGCAGAAAAATGTTTAGGTCAGTTGGCTCGGCACATTGTAATGAGGAAGGTGTTAGAATCGGTCATTCAGGAGATTATAGCTGGGCACTTAGGAAAAACGCAAGGTTACTGAGAAGAGTCAGCATGGTTTCGAGAAAAGGACTTCACGTTCAACCAATTTACTGGATTTCCTTGAAGGAGCAACATGTGTTGTGGCTAGGGGGAAGATAACTGATATTCTGATTTTGGATTTCAAGGTGCAACATAAGAAGTTATAGTATTAAGTAGAAGTAGATGGTGGGGAGTAACATACAGGCACGGATAGCAAATTGACTGGCTGGCAGGAAACAGAGAGTGTGCTTAAATGGATTTTTTTCAATTGGCAGGAATGATACTAGAGTTCCGTAGAGGTCTGTGCTGGGGACTCAGCTTCTTACAATGATATAATGACTTAAATGAAAGCATGCCAATTCAAAGCGCAGGACACTCAGATAGTTATGAAAGAAGAAGACATAAGAACAGATATAGATAGGTTGAGTGATTGGACTTAATTCTGCAGATGGAGCAAAATATGGGAAAATGTGAAATTGTTCACTTTGACAGGAGGAATAATAAAGTAGATAGCGAAGTTGATAAACAGAGAATATCTGCTGAATTGCGAGGTGCAAAGGGATTTAGGTATTTTAGTGTATCAGTCACAAGATGTTAGAATGCAGGCACAGCAAATATTTAGGAAGGTTGCTGGAATGCTATCCATTATGATGAGACGAACTGAATATAAAAGTAAGGATGTTATGGTTCAGTTACACAGGGCATTTGTGAGATCAAAACCATACACTGTATGCAGTTTTGGTCTCCTTATTTAAGGAAGGATCTAAATGTGTTGGATTGACCTTAAAGAATGCTTTTGAGATTAATGCTAGCAATGAGTGGATTGTCTTATGAGTACAGGTTATACATGTTTCCTCTGGAGTATGGAAGATGGAAGGATGACTTTATTGAAGTGTATAAAATTCTGAAAGTTCTGGACAAGGTGGACATGGAAAGGATGATTTCTCTCATGGAGGAGTCCAGAACTGGAGCAACACTGTTTTCAAATTAAGGGATTTCCTTATTGAAGAGAATTCTTTTCTTACAGAAGACTGTGTGACTGTGAAACTCTCTTCCTCAGAAGCCAGTGTAGGCAGTGTCATTGCATATTTTAAAAACAGAGGTGGATAAATTATTATTGGGCAATGCAATCAAAAGGCTATTGAGATTAGATGTGAGAAATTTGAAACTGATCACATAAAATTATGAGATTATTGCATGGTGAAGCAGGCTTGAAGGGCTGAATAGCCTAACTTTGTCCTGAATTTGTAGCTTGCATGAAACTTGATTTATTATAAGTGTCTCCAGATATTTCCCTGCTGCTTTGCTTAAAGACAAATGAGAATCAATTACTGTGCCTTCAATGAATCCAGAGACTTGTATTTTTGTTAGGATATTTATTTCAAGAGAACTAAACATTTGCAAACTTTCCACAATCCAGACAGCAATCTCTTGTCAGCAAGCGTTTTCCACAGTGTTCAAATGTTGATCAGCAGTGAAGCCAAAATCACTAGTTTCCTCAGCAAAAGAGAATCCAGCAAGTAATGCATTTTATTCGGTTAAAAGCACAGTCATTGGTCTGTTCTGAGAACACTTAAACTGACGTTGCTGTGGGACAGCAAATGATCTCCACACATTGCTTTTAGTTACTATCAACAGAGCAGTTCCATTTACGTTCTAGTATCAAAAATGGACATTGCCTCATTCAATGGCTCATCCTCTCTAACGTCGCTCTTCACATGAACAATACATTTCTGAAAGAACTTTAGAGACTCGATTATGGTATTCAATTTATTCACTCAATTGCATATTGAGTATGTTAGATTTGTTTATGGCATTCCTCCATATTAAGGAGATTTCAAACTGCAGATATACTCAATCATAATCTACCTTCAGAATGCCAGAGTTAACTACGGTTGGGAAAACTAGTTGGTCTGCATTGGCAACCCAATAGAAAAATTAAAGCTGCTCTGGAATGCCAACAGCTTTGGCTGATCAACAATGGCACTGAATTAGAGCGCTATGGATGCTTTAGAGAATGCATCTTCATTACTCAGCAAGTTCACAAGTTTTTCTTTAAATGTAAAATATACTTGTGACATGACATTTCTGTTATCTAGGCATTAGTAAAACACATATGGTCCAGGTTCTGCAGTTCCAAAAAAAACTTCCCATTCAATTACCGATTAGTTTTTGTTATCCTTAGGGTACACAGAGGAAACATAAAAAATATGATTAGATGACAGAAAATGAAAGCTATCAGAATCTTTGGAGATGATCACCCAGATAGATAATAATAAGCCTCATTTCAGTCATAACATTAACATTTCTTGTTGATACTCACATATTCTCAGTTATTGGCCAGTGGGGGATACTGATATGGATTTGGTTTTGAGCCAAAGGTAAGTGGAGACAGTGGGAACTGAAGGTGCACAGGTAAGGCAGATAACCAAAGAGATTAATCCTGATCATAAGCAAAGGACTCTTTCCCCTAATTATTTCAGGACCTTCCATTGGATAATTCAAGGGTGGCTGCACTCAGTAAAACAACAACTTTTGTAAAATGAGCAATGATTGTATCTTACAGGCATGACACGCTGAGTATTATTATTTTACCACAATAAGGGCAACCTTTACAGATCACTCAGAGAAACCAAAGTGAGTGTGGGGGCTTTCTGCCAAGGTAATACAGGACAACAAGACAGAGTGACAAAAGGATTAAATCTAAAATCTAAAAAAAATTGGCTAACATTGCTAATGCTGACTACTTCTAAAAAAATAAGTTTCTGATTTCAACACTGATTTGAAACTATCCCCAACACAACAAACAATATATGTTTATCATAAACATATTAGATTGTTAATTTAAAGAAGATTATTAATTTAAATTGTACAATGAAGTTTAACTTACCTGCAGTGCAAGAGGTTTCCATCTCATGTTCTTAAGCAAAGCAGGTGCAGAGGTGAGCATGCTCTGAGGACGTTTCTTTAAGGTTAAGATGACCCCATTGGGATCTTCCCGAAGTGCATTTACTAAGTTTTTCAACTGCCATCCTACCTAGAACCCAACAGCAAAAATAAGAAGATAGAAAGGATAAGAAAGTCTACAAAACTGAAAGCAAAAAATATATTAGTGCCATGATAGATTACTCTAAATGACACATGGGAAGTACTAACAATAACATTCAAAAAATCAGCATCTGACATGTTTCTAATTATATGATCATAACAATTGTAAGATTCTGTGACACGTTTCTCATGTAAGAAGGTAGTTTCTCCATCATGTCTGGTTCACATCCGGAACATGCACTGTTAACAGTGAGAAGCTGTAAACTAAGCATATTGCTTATGTATCCACATACTCACAACACCAAACGTGTATCTGTGACAACAGATATATAACACTATTCTGAAGTATTATTCAGAAATGGCATCACACTGTCTCACAATATATTCCAGAAGATCAAGCTGCAAGAGCATAATAAACCAGCTTGAGCAAGACCAATGGGAGGAGAAAAAACACACTCAAGAGGGAGTGCACAGTGAGGCTGGTGGGAAGTGAGAGTGAGTTTACATGAGGTTGGTGGGAGGTGAGAGTGGGAGAATAGGAAGGTCGGTGGAAGGTGGGAGGTGAGAGTGGGAGAATAGGGAGGTCGG